ATATGAGTCCCATAATGAACCTTCTGCGCTGGAGTGCATTCCATCACGCGAAAGATTCTCTCAATCTCTTTCAACCACTCCAATGCTTCGTCAGGATCATACTTTCCCTTGAACGTAGGTGGATTCTCTCTCTGGAAAGTAGCCAAGCTACGAGATCCAGCATTCCCGTCAGCATTCGACTGAGTTTCCATCGCATGAGCCATTGCTTCCAAAGCAGCAACAAGTGCAGCATCATTCCTTTCAGCCATCTCAACTTCTCACTATAACATAAACAACGGTTAGAACTCAAAATAACAATACTCGATTGTTAGACAACTACGACTCGACGACAAGGTCGGACCAACCTTTTGCTATGATACCAACTTTGTAACACCCTAATTCTACCCCAAGCAATTATACAACTAAATCAGAGTTATAAAATTTCAATCATACAAATGAATCGGGACGTCACAAATTCTTCTAACAATTTCATTGCATTCATCATAGATATATAACACTTTTTCTAAACATCGAATGAACCATCAACATGACATCTTTCATTAAATAATTCAACAACTACGCAGCAGAATTCTCAATAACATCTTTAAAACGAAAAAACATCAACTTCGAAACATCTCATATTCAATAATAATCAACTTAAAGTTCAATAACTAAAAATCAGCAATCAAAAATCAGCAAGCGTTCATCCCCCCGAGTGTTACATATCAGAGCAATGACACCGACTCGAACTACTGAAGGTATACAACCTTCACTCTCGATTACCTGCACGTTACAAACATAAGGGCAACATTCAAACAGAAGGGGTGAGATATCTAACAATATAATAAAGCGTGTGATAATTAATATATTGAATTAGATCAATAATATCACCACTCCTCATCTCAAAATCAACAACAATCTCAATACTAGTACACATTCATAACATCAATACAACTTCTTTAATGCAATCATATAATGCGACTCAATACTATGTAAATGCATGTGGTACCATTTGGAGCAAAACTCCCATCTCAAAAATCTGCCAATTATAAGAGGCATCAACAAGGCATAGCCTTCATCTCACAATTCGCCAATACAGGCCATCTCAACGAGCATAATCTCCATCTCAAAAAAATGCAAGGTATGCGACACAACCATGAATGTAATAATAACACCCAAATTAATAACATCTCAAATCATCTCAAAACATCTCAATTAACATCTCAAAATAACAACATCTCAAATCATCTCAATTAACAACATCTCATAAACATCTCAAAAGCATCTCAACGTCTCATCATCAACATCCCATATCATCAAAATAATTCATTAGACATCATTTATTCATCAAACGTCATATATTCATTATAAATTATCAACACAACTTCATTAATAACATCTCACTAATAACTCAGCTATATATTAATACTACAGTAATCCATACTGTTAATCTGTATTTTTACATCGTTTCTGTCACTAATCTTACTGTCATAATTCTAACAGCAGCCTCTAAACATCTCATATTCATCATTCTGTACAAAAATCAGCACAACGAGCAACACGGGAATTACTTCTAAATCCTAAATTGGCTACTAGGATTACACTTCATATTCATCATTTTAATCACCTAGAATAAAGTTCATCGCGTTAACTAATCAACACTTCGAACGGAATCTCTAACAGCATCCTAAAACTCAAGTTACAGCAATTAAAAATTGAATCTGTCAAAAAATCAGTCATTAAGGGTCGACGCAAAACCCAATGGATCGACGCGTACTGCTTCATCTGTACACTATGAGTCGACACATCCTCCTTATGGATCGACTCATCCTGGTCTCAAACATAGCATGTATCGACACATGCAACTTACCGGTCGACTCATCCTGAGTCTTGCAACTATCATGTATCGATGCAAGCCCTTCTTGTATCGACTCATCCTGAGTCTAACAGCCTCCTTGTATCGATGCATAACATTTGAGGTCAATGCATCCTGTTACATTCTGCACAAATTATGCGTTTTCCTCTATATTTTCACTACGGGAATCATATTACAGCCCTACGAACCTCATTATAAACATGGTAATTCATCACCTATCATTATCCTATAATACTAAATCGATTAAACAACATCATGCCATCGTTATTCATCTAAAATTCATCAAATCATCATCATACATCATCATATATCATCATACATGCATCCAATTCAAGAACAAAACAGCAATCACCTCTAACCCCACATATCAAACATCATGAACCCAATTATAAAGTCGGAACCCCACCCTTACCTTGGATTGAAGGTCGCTCTATAATTTCTAGGTTGAATTCTCGTTCTTGCCGTTTTCCACTATTTCCAGCAGCTTCACGTTCTTCTCAAATCCTTATTTCCTTATACTGTTCTTTCTTCTATTCCTTCTCACAAATAATAAAATAACCCTGTTATTCTATTATTCGTTATTTCTTGTTGGACTCAAAACCTACACCCCCTTATTACTTCTACTCTCTCAAAATAAGCCCATATTAAATAGTATTACACTTCTAATATTATTTCACCATATAATAATATAATACCTCTAATATATTATTTCTCCACTTTAATAAAATAAATCCAATTTAATTATAATGCAACTTCATAAATATTCCAAAAATTATTTAATTAAATAATTAATTAAATTAAGGGCGTTACACTCTGACTCTACAACAAAGAAGAATCTTCTGGATCATTATAACTCCTGAATCATAATCAATCTAGCAAGAAGAAAAGAGTCAAAGCTCAAGAATTCAAAGACTTTCTAATCAGAAAGTTTGTAGTCTCAACATCTGATTATAAGACTCTAATCATCAGAAAAGATTTTGATATCATCAGAAGAGCTTTCACGCAAAACAACAAGACTTGTTTCTCAGATAGGTTGTTGTCAATCATTCTGAAGACAAGAATCCACTATTGAATTTTTTTGAAATGAATCATCTTCTCAACACAATCTTCATCTCCCAAATCAAAAAAGAAATATGTCTTCAAGACTAGTTCTAGATCAGAAGAAAAGCTTCGTGTTTCAGATCGGCTGTTGCCCATAATTCTGAAGAGAAGATTTGGTTCTGACCATTCTAGTGTTCATGCGCTACAACAACAAAGTAATTTTTGAACTAATCATCAGTCACTCATCAGAAGTAAAGTATTATTCCTACCCTAATGCATACGTATCCTTTTTGAGGAATCAAAGTTACTGTAGTTTGGCTCACATGTTTTTGTTTGTTCTGTATTTTTTATGAACAATTTTAATTCCTCCTTCTGCCGCAGCTCGACATTTGGAGACTCACGCATTGGTACAGAAGTAAATTAATCATGTACTTACTTGAAAAAGGTTTTGAGTTACTTCCTCAAGGCAATATGCCACATTTGATTGGTTTGTGTTTTATTACCTTGAAAAAGGGTTTAAGTATGATTAGCATGTTTTTATTATTTTCTAAGAAAAAAAGTTTTAGTTTTAGATGCAAGGATGCAAAAAGGGGGAGAAAATATTCTACGGGAGACTAGCCTATATCTAACCTAATGTTATCATGCAATGGTGGTCCTAAGGTTTGGATTAACAAAAGGGAAATGTCTACCTAATGTTAGCATGCATGGTTTGCAACCTAAGGTCTAACTTGCATCTGAAAGGAGCAAACACATCCTAAGGGAACATGGTATGTACAAGGATAAAACAAACAAGCTCGAAAGAGCACACACACAAAAAATTAAGGAAAAGAAACGAAATGCTTTAGTCAAGGGGAGCGTATCACCCGAGACAAACAAGCGAGAGTAGGATGTAAAACAAAAATGTGATGTCCAAAGCAACTAAACACCTAACCAACATATAGGAAATCGAGGTAGACGACATAAGGCAATATGAACGATCATGGAGTATCGACATCAGCCAACGCAAACTCCTGACAAAGCGTAGGGTTCGATTGTAGAATCCTTCCCCACTTGACAACTCGATACACAAGAGCAGACACAACTCTGAAGTATCATGGTGCGTCACAAGCTAAGGATGACACAAACTAAATTGTAGGGGTTGATTGCGAACCCTCATTGCTCGCCTCTTTTGAGGACTTATCATTTGTACATATGTGGGCACAATTATAAACACACGGGCATAATACCTACTAAAAGGTAGGGTTTTAAACAAACACAAATAGCACACAGAAAGCACACAATGCGGAATTGCCCTAAACGAGTCTTTAAATAAACCAGATGGATTCCTGACATGATTAGCAATGAAGATCCCCTTCATACATCTCTACCCTACTTTTCATGGCATCAGAAAGCAGTAAAGCCCTACTTCTCATGATTTCTAGAAAAGCGGTAAAGTGCGGAAATGAGGAATAAAAGTGAAGCCACAATGATACCTAACGGAGAAGGTTTGTTGCCTCTTCAAAATCACGCAAGCGAAGAGAAAACTCTATAAAAGTTGCTTTGCACAAGTGATCAAACGAGTTAATCCCCAAGAATTCCACATTGTGAAAACTACACCAATATTCTATCATAAAATCTTAGCTAAAAAATGATAATGAAAATGATTATTAAACATAAAATAATAGAAAACTGTAAGGAAAATTATAAAGGGAGACCTTAAAGGGTTCTAGAATATTCTATTATTTTTGTGTCATTTTCATCATTAAAATCATGGAAAAAATGAACCTAAAACTAAAAACATGGAAAGGTAAAAGTAGTAGAAATAGCGGGGGTGTATTGCTAAGCCCAGGAAGTATGCAGAAGCAAGGCCAGGTGCAGGCCCAATCAGATTTAGCCCATTAACTTTTTTTGTTCACCAACCCAGACGCTACCAAAAAGCTTTTGGTTCAAAGCCAAGAAAAGGACTGGGTCCACACCAATGCCAGCATTACTAATCCAGGCATTTTTTCAATCTTTCAGCATGATTATGTTTCAAAAATTATAAAATCTGAAAAAATTCTCTCTCTTCGCGAAAACTTTTCCTTAGGCTTCTCACCAGAGCGATTTCTGGTGGCGAAACGCCACCATGATCCACTTAAAACTTCCTAAGCACTACAGAATCAACACAAACCCTGCTTCTTTTACATCCCTGATCATGAATCCACCATCAATTTCCTCAGATTTTATCCCTAATATACCTCAATCTACTCCAAACGAAACCCTAAGAACCTCGACAACGGTGGACGTTCGGCCTACCTCGACAACAACGGAGAAGGTGAAGTTGTGGTCTGGTGAAGATTAACTTGAAGGTAATCTTCTTGACTTTCTCTTTCTTCACTTTCTCTTCTTCTTCTTTTCCTGCGATTCCAAAACTTGTTATTGCATTTTCGTTGCTGAGAAGTTGTTGTGGTTGTTGTATTGGAGGTTGAAGCGCTTGAGGCGAAATGAAAATGATGAATAGGTATTGTTGTATGGTTTTTAGAGAGAACACGAGATTGAAGGTGATTCTTTTGTTGTGATGTTGTTGAGATCCCAGAGGTGCGTGAGGTGTGCGATAAAGAAGAAGAAGATGTGAAACCGATAGAATCAGCGTTGATTGAAAATGATGAAGGCTTAAGAACTAGGATGATGATGAAGCGATGGATGGTGATGAAATTGCAGAAAGAGAATGGAGATTTGCAGAGGCTTCAAGATTGAGAGAGAGTCTTCATGTTTTTGTGGTGAGTTCTTTCTCTAATTTTTTTATGAGTTTCTGAATGTGTAAAATAATGAATCCCCCTCTCTCTGTGTATCCTATTTTCTGTTATATGGTTCCAGACTTGAGAAAAGCTTGTTAGAGATTGTTAGATTCGGTTAGGTTCTGTTAGAGAGATTATCAATTCAGTTACTGAGTTGTCCAGTTAGGTTTTTGTTATGACAGTTATGGGATTTCAAGTGAATGAGTGAGCTGAGTTGGTTCCTGGACCAGTTGAATGATGCTGAACTGGTTTGGAGTTTTGACCCAATCTGACTATACTCCTTTTTTATATAACTTCTGAAATAATTTTATTTTGGAAACTTGTTTTGGGGATTAAGTCATAGCAATTATATATTGTTTTCATGACAATTTTGCAGGGCTGTAATCATGTGTAGAAGGCTTGTCCATGAGTTAATGATTTCTGATTTTCCTTTTATATATTGCAGCAAGGCCTAAGCGGGCAGCAAGTCACATTTTCGAATGCGTCTTATTAAAGCATTGTTGCGCCGTATGTAGAAACCAAAGGCTAAATGTAGCTTTTTTTGTAATTTATTTTGACAGTTTTGTAATGGCTACATATTTAGTGTAATAAATCATAAGGAATAAAATTTGAATTTTGATTTATTGATATAAAACTTGGATGAATACTGAATGTAACTTGCATATTTGGACAGTTGTACTTATAATAAACTAAACTCTTTGAATGTAATGGCCTTAAAAATTTTAAGGTCCTTTGATGAAGTTTGGATGCATTTATGGACGTGGTTAATGTAACATGTACTTCAAATAACCAAATTTAGTGAACTTCTGAACCTTGCCTAATGCCATTGAGTGGCGCCATGAATTACTTTACTTGGACTTTTGCAATTGAACTATGGCCATTGTTCCTTAGTTGCACCTTGAATAACTAATCTCTTCTTTAAATTTTAATTTATTACCGTGTTTCGAAGTCCTTCAAATAATTAAAAGAAATTTGTCTTTAAAGAATCCAAATGATCAGGTGAAACATTATGCCTCAAGATATCAACAAACTCTAATTTGACAATGTAGGTGTGCATGTCTCCTTGTATGAAACTATAACCACATGCTTCATAATCCTAAGCAACACAATTAACCTGGAAGAAAATGTCTGGAATTAATAATGAACCAACCTAAATCCTCCTGAGGATCCTAGCTTGTCGTGCACATCAAGTTTTGTTTAAAACATAATCTTTGTGTTATAGTTCAATTAACAAGTATACGCTTGATGAATGACGAACCACAATCATAAGAATAGATTACTTGAACTAAAAGCCATAAAGAAGTCCTTATATGTGAATTCACACTCTTGAGTGAAGAAAACAATTGTATCTTTTTGAAACCCCTAAGCATAAAGATTGAAACCTTAACCCTTTGACAAACGTGGGGAAATAAACCCTAATCCGAGTTCTTGATGGAGAAAACCCCGCAACCTGATGTTGAGAGGAAGAGAATGTCCTTATAGCTTGATAAACACAAACACTGAACCAAAACCCTAGCTTCAAACCCTGATTATTGATGAAACACGTTGACCCAAGCTTGCATGAAGATGAGAGCCTTCCTCGAGATCCCTAATCCAATGTTAAGTCTTGTGGTTAATGAATGCATGATGTCGTTAAATGACCTAATGGATGGTATGCAGATGAAATGAGAAGTGAAAAATTCATAAGCCAGACAAAAGTGGAGGGGTAGGACAAATTTGGGGTATTACACAAGGAAGTTTAGAGAATCAAGTCCACTCTTTTCAAAGACGCTGGTGACTATGGAAAAGTGAAGAACATGTATGTTACTTAGAGGCTTTTGTTCAGAATATTAATTGGTAGCTTAATCCCCAAAGAAGGAAACACTGATTAGATCTCCTAGGATCACAAGCTTTTCATCTGGTTCTTGGAAAGTAGGGAGAAGGTGAATCTGGCTACTTACATCTTTCATCATCTATATGAAGTTGTCAAGGAAACTCAAAAGAATAAGAAAAAGAATGTGCCTTATGCAAGACCACTATCTGAAATATTTCATCATAGAGAATTAAGTGAATTTCTGAAGGCTCTTAATGCTAATCTGAACTTTAAAGAAACTTATGGAAACATATTGTCTGGTTCCATTCTTCGAAATACTTATTTTAAAAAGAAGGATGTTAAGAAGTGGCTCAAGTCTATCGATTAGGTATGATAATAATACTTATATTGATTATTTTCTTATCATCACCAAGATGGATAATCCTGAGGTGATTATGAAATATATTAAGATGTTCAAAGTAGAAAATGGTGTCACAATACGTATGAAGGACATTCCAGATGCTCTTGAGGATGTGTACAAGAATTCGAAGAATTGGAAGGTAATGGATTCTGAAGAGAATAAGGAGGTTCATAAGCCATCCAAGAGGAAAGTTGGGGTGAGTAAGGAAGTTCAGAAAGAGGTCGAGGATGTTGCAGCTTCTACTATATTAATGCCTACTAAGATAAGAACGGGTGAAACTGGTAAAACATCTCAGAAGCTTGCATCATATTCTACCATAGTTGTTCCTGAGAAGAAGAGAATAAGGAAGATGGTTCTTCTATAGGAAGAATAAGAATAAGAGGATGATGATCAACCTCTGATAAGGGAGACCATGAAATGAATAAGCTAGACAAGGTTCTACTGAAAGAGTCTGTAACAGAAGAAGAACCTTCAATAGCTGGATTTCTAAGGCATCAAGCCATGGAATTGCAAATTGTTGTTGATGGAATTCTGAAGCATGTTAAAGGACCTTCTGAAGCTGCAATTAAACAGTTGGAAGCAGTTCCTACAACCATTTGGTTTTTTGCATCTATTCTGAAGCCCATTGAAGCCTCTCCAAAAGTCGGGGATCAAGTCGCAGATGCTATGTTGGAGGAAAAGCTAGCTGAGGAAGTAACTTTAGATGTTGCAGAAATTGTTGAAACATGTAACAATTTGAATTTTAACTTAGATACAGTTCTAGATTCTTCCTCTCACCTTAAAATCAAATCATTAACCCCTTATCCTTCACCTGAACACACACCCTCACTCGTTCATGAGATAGCTCTATCTTTATAACCAATCATGAATTACCCTAAACCCACTACAACCTCTAAATCTCCAACCATGATTCAGATACTGGAAAATGTTCTTAGAACATCTGTTTTAGATGAATTATCAAGGCATCTGGTTGGTGAGTTCACTTTTGAATATAACCAACTATCACTTGATCAAGTATTTGAGAAACCCTCAACTTTAAACACCATGACCGATAATGCTCAGTTCATGGATCTCCTCCATGAAGAATTTCATAAGTCACCAAGCCTAGAACAACCTAAACCAGCCTCTTCTAGATATCATACCATTTCCTCAACAATCATTAAGTCAACCTTATCATCTAGCTCTAATTCTGAAGAATTAGAGTTTATTATGCCTTTAAATATCACTCCTCTCCAATACATACCCTTTATAACCCCAACTTGTGAATCTCAGTTACTTGAAGTTGAAACAAATTATGTTCTATTTATACGTATACCTACCCCTTAACCTGAACTAGAAACTGAACGAAACCAAGACCCTAAACCTGTTCTTGAACCAGATGTTCAAGAACAACTTATTCAGGAACAACAACCTCAACCTACTCTTAACCAAACTATACCATAACCCCAACATTATCCACAACCTGAAACATAAACAAAACCTAAATCTCTCCTAACTCATATTCATCTAACCACTCTCACCACTTTATTCCTACAAGAGATCGAGCAGTTTTGTCAGGATCTAGCACAATAATTCTTAATTCTTCTGAGGATAGATCCCATCTTCCCACAACCAATTACCAGAACACTTCACATAACATCCAAGACCTTGTGGAAGAATTTATAACTAATATCTTTGTAAGGATTTATACTGTGGTTGCTGGGAGACTTCTATCATCTGACCCTATTTCACATGCTAGTAACTAGGATACTCTCAGAATCTATGTGGATTCAGTTCTGTAGAATCTGAAGAGCTTTTCTATTGAGTCTAGATCTTCTTCCAATCAAAAGCAAGAGAAGATAAAGGATAAATTGGCTTCTACTACTGCTACTCAAGAGGCTATTGGTTCCTAGCTTCTGAATGTTGTTACTTATCAAGTGATAATAGGTACTGTGATGCAATCAGTGAATCCTAAGCAAGAAGAGATGGATGTTCATATGAAGATAGCGATTTCTAGATGAAATTCTGGCACTTGAAAATAGATTTCAAGACTCATGTCCCAACACAAAAACATAATGTCACGACATACGTTAAGACATCATCTGATGACAGAATTTTTTTACCAAAATAGAAATTATGCAGAATTAAATTGCAGAAGGTAAAAGACACAATAAATTATTAACCCAATTCAGTGCAACATCACCCACTTTGGGTGCTACCAAGCTAGGAAGGAAATCCGCTATAATAGTATTAGTTCAGAGCCTAAACAATCCCAATTTACAACTTATCACCTAATCACTATCCTATGCAATTTCTACCTAAGAATCTCTTAGATATGAGAACCCCCTCTCACTTTCCACAATCACCTAAGT